AAACACACACACAGACATACAAACACACACACACACACAGGCATACAAACACACACACAAACACACAAACACACACACACACACAGAGGGAGGGGGTGGGCGTAAACAGTCCCGTACCCACCAACGGTTCATTTCCCAATTAAAACAAAATTGCAAACACTATCATAAAATAGACGCAACAATCATTCAAAACGTCATGAATATGTTTCATCCAGAGCTCTTTGCAGTTCGCCGACAGTCACGGCAAAAGAAACCCCAAACCAGGCAGGGACACGCCCACTGACACACCCATGCCGCCCAAAGGCCCAGACCCCTACGAGTACGCTGTACGTCTATCCAAAAACTCGAAGCTTATTCGAGAGTTCGTTGACCCGTCCCATGTGACCCCGATCTTGACCCAGAACAAAATCATGACGAAAATGGAGGCTGACGTGGTGTACCACCTGCATGACACGAGCAAGAAATGGGACGTGAGTTGAGGCGAAGGTTGCATTTTTATAATTAAAATGTAGCCTCACATTGGTTGACCACTTCGCTATCTCAGAATTACAAAGCTCCATCTTGTATCTTATCAGTACACCTACTTTTGAGAAATTCAACGTCAGAAAAATTGAGATTGACAACATGCCAAACTTCTTTCTTTTTTTTTTTTTAATGAATCCGAGTTTTCGTTGAATCAGAGTTCGTTGAATCTGAGTTCCACTTTACCCCCCCCCAATAAAAAAATTAAAAATTAAAAAATCCAAGAAAATATATCACAAAAATTTTCTTCAGCTTTCCGCACATTCATTTCCCCACTGGTTCACAGAACCTTGATTTTTCTATTAAAATCCTTCCACCTCACCCGCACCCCACAAAAAGCTTGCATTATTTGAATTAGATAGTCTACACAATATCATGTACGCAGTTGTAAAGAATGAATTCTCAAGTTACAAATACGTTTGTTAGAGACAAAGTTTGTCAATAATTACCATCATTTTGAAAAAAAAAATATATTCAAAATACAATTACTCGTACGGTGTTCCTTAGTATGTTAGTGTATGCTTTATAAATTTAATCTCTTTGCTTTACCAAAAATGGTAACTTTTGCCTCAGTATGAAGGAAAATCTGGCCACCTCAAATGTATCCCACCCTAGACGGTCATATAATCGCCTAGATTCCACCCTATCAAATGAAGGTTTTGTTAAACTTTCTGTTAAGTACACTGTGTACAATTTCTGTACTCAACCACATACTACTATGTAAATATTATGATTATTGTTTTCTATTACAATTGCTAGTCGTGTGATGCTATTTTATAATTATATTTCTCCTCAGCTAATTCTGGCCGTGTTGCAGCAGAGGGGCGAAAGGGCGTACCAGGCTTTTCTGGTGGCGCTGTTACAGAGTAAATACGTCACCATGTTCCACACGATACAGGGCACAAGAGTTTCTCTCTCCGACAGAGAGAATTAAGCAGACGACAACGACCATGAGGGCAGCTTTAGTTTATGGCCAAGAAGAAGAGAGAGAGACCAGACCATGTACACACACAACACACACGCACATACCTCCCCCCCCCTTTCCCAATCCCCCTTTCCCT